CCCCAGGGTCCCCCGGGAGACGCCAAAGACGCGCGAGCGCAGGGCGCGGAGCTCAGAGTCACGATCGCTTGGGCTGGGAACGCCTTTGGGCTTTCGGGTGGGGTGTCGGTGGGGGAAATGCCATTTCAAACCGTGCCGCCCAGGGAGAGCCCACCCTTTCACTGAGTCTAGACAACCGGCTTTGAAGTTGCTGCCTTTGCTGGGACCCCTCCCCCTCCGCGGAAATGCGGAGTCCGGGCCGTGCCCCCTGCCTTGTAGCTAAGCACTACTGCAGCGGCTCATTGGACCACGTCGGTGGGGCCATGCAGCCCTCTGATCTGTGAGCTGCGAAGAACTCAGCGGTTCATTCACAAATCCGCGCCCCGGCCGGCCCTCGATGCACCCGTTGCACCGGAGCCAAGTCCTGGGGCCCGGCGCCCTCCGGGTGCTGGGCGCTGGGGAGCCCCCCGCCCCCCTCCCTCAGCTCCGGCCCCTCCCGCCGCTCCCTTCACCTCTCTACCCCGCGCCCAGGCCCTCCAAGGCAAGGATTTCTGGGATGGGGGAGCCTCCTGGATCCCTGCTCTGCCTCCTGGGCCCTCGCTGTGGAACCAAGAGCTCCGACAGGGCCCAAGGACTCACTTCCCCAGAACACAGGAGCGCGGCCAGGGCGCATCCACAGGGTCCTTCTCCGAGCCAAAGGACGCGAGTGTAGACACTTCCACCCCCCCCACCCCCCGCCAAGCCACAGACTTACTAGGAGATTCTGGGGCGTCGCTGGGCACATGGCAGGTCCCTAGGAAGCACCCCTAAACGCGTGCTCGCCCATGAATTGGTTGCTTATTCAGATGGCGCCGCGTGGGAGGCAGGGAACTGATTTCCTTGACTGATTTCCTCCTTTCCAGGAGGAAACCTGCTCTGGGGTCTCCTAGGGATTCAGCCTTGTGGGCTCCAGAGAGGAGAGGGGTCCCTTCAACCTACCTATTGCCCAGTGAAGTTGAGGAGGGGAGTTCAGAAAGGGGGACGGGAGCGAGCAAAGGCTGTTAATTCTGGAAGGAAGAGACCGGGTCACACCCAAGCGAGCCAAGGCCTGCACCCTCACGCACCTCCGCCCGCTCCCAGCTCCAGCGTGGACCTGATTTTCCCCCACCTCTGCCCGACGGGACACCGAGACAACTGCTGGCGCGGCCTTGTGCTGGGCTGGGCGCAAAAGCCCTGATCTCTGCCAGACATCTTTGGGTCATTCCTGGGTGACCTGGGGATCACAGGGTCCCCTCCAGCTCCGCAGAGCAGCCAGGACCGTGGTGGGTGCTTAAGAATGCGCCTGCCCCCTCCGAGGACCTGAGGGAGGCCTGAGCGCCAGGCCTCGAGCCCCTCTTCCCACCCCAGCCTTGCCCCACCCGCGCAGCCAGCAAGCCTGAGAGCGCCAGGCGCCTTGTTCCCCGAGAGGGAGCTCTGTTGTGCTCCGACCAGCCTTGCCCCTTTCTTTTTGCTCAGTTTTTGGTTTTCTAGTTGTTTCCACTGCGAAAAAGAGATTCTCGCGTGGGTAGAAGGGCTACAGGCTTGCACGAAGCCCTGTCTCGTACCCTGGCAGATGCTCGCCACTTTGGGGATCTTGATCTGAAATCCATTCTGGACGCTGACCGCGGAGAACGCCTCCGGAGCGAGGTTTCCAACCGAAGGAGGCTTGGTTCCACATCCTGTTTTCAAGCCCTAGCTTTCAGGGCTGCTTTGCACGAGGTGCAGCCGAACTAGTATCTGCAAACAAGACAGAAAATCTTTAAATGTCGCCCAACGTGTGTCGTTTGGGGAACTCGCGCTTTGCGCTGGAAGCGCGGCTGCTGCGCCTTGGTACTAAACTTTCCGGTCCAGACTGGCAGCGCTCAGAGCGCCTCCCCCAGGCGCGACGCCCCGACATCTGTAACCCAAGGGTTGCGCCACAGCCACGTTAGACCTTGCAGTTAGAACTGAGAAGTAAAAGCAGGCAGTTAATTAGAACAGCTCGCATTTCTGGCTCCCGGTAGATGGGGAGGTGTAAATCCCGAGGAATTTAAGGGCATTAGCTACATATGTGGGAAATCCTCGGGCATATCCCATTTCTTTCTCCCAGCCTGTGTGAAGACTCCAAACGGTGTAGAGTTGCTGAACTTTGCCGTCATCACAGAGGCTGTTGTGTCTTAGGGGATTAACTGATTCGAGACATGCACAAAACCCTGAAACTCCGTAACATAAAATACAACACAAAGAGGCTTCCTGGAGAGAACTGGAATATTTCTTAGAGGGCATGGGAGGAGGAAAGAGGAGTTTTTTGGAGGAGAAAGAGAACACTTCTATAATGTGCCTTAGCTTAAAAATATTGCTTTGCTGGGCTTTTTTTTTTTTTTTTTTAATGGAGCTGGAAGTGCTGGGGTGAGAGGAAAAGGGAGAAGGAGGGAGAGGGGGAGTCCCCACCCAGACGGGAGTGAGACAGGACAGCTGTCCAGGGATGGGTAGATTGGGCCTTGACAAATGCTGAAGGCAGGTGCCCATGATTCGGGCTTGACACCAGTGCCCTTCCGAGCGCGAGTCCACGAAGGTCATTACCGAGCCTTTGTGCTTGCAAAAGGTCGCCATGCTTCACACGGGCGTCTATACTTAACACAGGAACTGAGTGCAGACAGGGACCCCTGACACACACACCATAGGCACAAGGACGTCCATCAGTTACAGATACTCATGCTAAGGAAATGACTAACTTTGTTGAACTCAGAGGAATTGATCGATAATTTAACCAAGTAGAGGGAATGTTTGAATTTAATTCACAATGTAGTCACCCTTTTATATAAAACTATATCTTTATATATTTCTATTTGATAAAGGGGGAAAGAAATAAATTCCACCACTTTAACAACATACATTTAAAACATATATCTCCCCTCACTTAACCAGGATATAAGTCTAATTGAGTTTCCCCAGCTAAGCACTGTTCAGTGTCTGCGGTATTTTGGAATGGGGGTGATTGTGAAGGTATTTTCTTCCTTACATTAAACCTAGACTAATGCATTATCGTCTAACTAACTAGCTCTAGGTAGTTCGGCAGGACCGGACCCAGGTGAGTTGAGTTAAACCTGTACTGTACTTGCCTAAATTCTATAAACCTCTAGCCACTCAAATCATATTTCCAAAAATGCTGGGAAGTCGGTGTATAGGAGTTTATGCCGCACTAGCCTCTCTGATTACCTGTGGCCTTTAGGGAAAGAAAGAGAAGGAAAAAAACGTCATGCTCTGTGAAGCTGGGTTCCAGAGTTCCTTTTGAATATCTTGTTTTCTTTTCAAAGGTCAAAAGGAAGACACAAAAAGATTGATACTAGAATTTCTTCCATCTGAAAATAATTATAAGATTAGAGAAGGTGGCTAATTTTTTCAAAGCTCATTGTCTTTTTATAATATACGTTTTTCCTTTCTATTTTGGTGTGCTCAGCCCGCTCAAGCAATGGATGCCATTCCTCACATTCCTTTACCAAACTAATTTTACTTATTGACTCTAGATTATTTGGAATGCACCATTTTCTTCTGGGTTGCTGCAATTTTGAGGGGACGTTTTCATTACAGTCCAGACATTAGGATGTGGAACACAATTTGTGCTCCCATCCATGACTCAGAACAGTAGCTCCAGGAAAAATCCAACCAGACCCAAGACCAGACCCCAGAATGCAGGTCTGTTTGGCGAAGATGCAGGCTCCACTTTGAGTGGAAGTGGGCCCAATTCCGTAAGGGTCCGAATTTTATGGGATTAAGAACAGCAGTAAAGCAGGCCCAGAGCAGAAAAGGGGGCCTTGGGCAAGTGATTCCCAGAAAAGTCAGGTCATGCAAAGCGGGAGTCCTCTGGCCCTGGAGAGCCGCCAAGGGAGGGCCTGCTGCGGCTGAGGATTTCGTTTGTGTGTGGGGTTTCCTGGCCAACTAAGGCCATCCTTCCGAGTCTCTGCAGAAGCGTCTGTTTTCATGAGAAACCAGGTTAGGGACGGCTTCTGCACCCTCAGTCTCCAGCTCTGGATATCTGCCCACCCACCGGCAGTCCCCCAGCACTGGGGCTAAGCACTGAGCCAGGACAGAAGGGCGATCCTCAGCGGGGTCTCACCCGCTCGGCTCCCCCAACACGCGGGGTACGTTGGCTCAGCACAGGTGTTCCTGCAGCGCTCGGGCAGAGCCGACCCGCAACCCGCTGCCCGCCGCCCTCCGCAGCCGAGCCTCCGCCGGCGCCAACCGCGGACCAGGCTCTGCCCAGCGCGACTGCGGCACCCCTGGCGGGCCTGGGGCGGGGACGGGTGAAGGGCCAGGCGCACGATGGCCTGTGCGCCCCCAGTCCCCACGACGCTTCCAGGCTCGCCACTGCTGCGGTTAACCCCTTCCTTCCTAGGGTTACTCGGGCGTGGTCCCTAACCCCAGCCCCCAGCCCCCAAATTCGCCCGCTGGGTTTCAGGGCCTGTCCTTCGCTCTGAGATGAGCACAGAGGCGCCCTCCCTGCCCGCTGTCCCCACTTGCCCCATCCCCTGCTCCCTGCGCCCCTTCACTCCGGCCTTTGTCTGCAGCCGGTCGGTCGCGGCTCTCCTCCCAACCAGAGCGTCTCTCCCTCAGCCCCAGTTACCCGCTGGCGCCCCGGGCCTGGCCTCGCGCGCTGGCCCGGCCGGACTTTCCGGGACGGAAATTTCGCCTTCAGCAGTTGTTGGACATCGCTACCCCCACCCCCGAGTGACAAGGCCTCCAGCGAGCGAACGGCTCTCTTTGCGTTCGTTTTTCCGAGTGTCCCCACGACAACCTAGAGAAGCGAGGTCAGGGACGGGACAGCGAGCGGCCAGAAAAGTCACCCTCCTCCGGCCTTGTTTTAAGAAAATGCAGGAGGCCAAATCCGCGGCCCGGCGTCCGGCGTCTCGGGAGGCTCGGCCGAGCTTGTGTGTGCAATGCCAGCGTCGGCGTGGTTGAGCCGCCGAGCCTGGGCGCCGCGTCCCCCGCGCCCTCTCCGGGCCTCTTTGTGCGTCCTCGGGAACATGGAGGCCGTTCTCTGCAAGCGGGTGAGGGCGGCCGCCCTCCGTCCTGACGAGGGTGGAAGGGGAGCGGGACTCCGGGCCGGAGCTCCACTTGACGTTAGGGGAGAAACAAATGTCGGTGATGGGTCGTCTGATCGCGCAAAGAAAAGCAGCCCCCGAGGGCGGTGGCGGCGGCGGCCGTGCGGGTGGAGAAGGCGCCAGGGCTGGCACCTCCGCCTCGCCCGACCGCCAGCACTGGCGCCCCGAGTCCCCAGAAAACACGGCGGCGCTGGAGGCCGGGCTGGGCCTCAGGCACGTTCTAGAGGCTTCCTGAAGCCGCTCGTGGAACTTTCTGCGTTTGTAAAACTTAGGATTCCCAGGCCCCCGAGCAATCCCACGTTCTGCGGCTGCCCCCACCCTCCTCCCACCTCCTCCCTGGGCCTTTGGATCGTACCCACGCTCGACTCTATCCAGGAGTTATTTCCTGCTCGCTCGGTCCACTTTTGATGGCCTGGTACCCTCAAATTACCCCTCTCCTCATTCCTTTCGCTCGCCCCTTTCCTCCCTCCACCTCCCCTCTCCAGGTGAGTAGCCAGGAATTCCCTCCTTCCTCAAACCCACCCGACACTGCAGCCTGCAGACCCTGTGCGCAGAGGTCTCCGTCCACAAATGGCGAGGTGGAATTAACACCCTGCTGCTCAGAGTTTACACTGCAGCTACGAATTTGGGTCCTGGTTGCAGAAAAGATCACAGCTGCAGTCCAGTACCTGTGGCTCATTTAACACCAGGGCAGTCAGAGGCAAAAGTTCCTAACAACATTAGAAAATACTTCTCAGGAGATGGTCTAATCGAGTTTTCACGGGACAGGTGGGAAAGTTAACCTATGACGGTTTTGCAGGAAGCAAAACATCTCTGGGTCCTCCCTCCACCCATACCACTTCAGGAGACCCCAAATAATTGGACTACTCAATCCCTGCCTGGCGACGATGTAGAGTCCCCAGAGTTCTAGGAAATTTCCTCCAAAGCCTAAGTATGTGCCAATTGGATTTCCACCAACTCCATTTTCCCAAAAGCAGGTAGACTATAGGGTTCATGTTTTGAGACTCAGGGAGGACCCGTGGCAGGTATGTGCCTAGTCAGAAAATTACCCCTTCCATGCAGGAAAAGTGGAGGGAGGCAGAAAGAGAGAGGGGAGTCAACTGAGTGAGAAGTGGCTTCCCCACCCTGCCTGAGATGCTCAGAGGACAGATGACACTCCCTATCAGTCTAGAGCCTGCCACCCAGGCCACCTGCCTGCCCCCACCTCCCACCTTTAGTGGCTAGATGACCCTTTCCGTGCACTTCCTCCCACCTCCCCTCACTCCATGCCACCCCCCTCCTAAGGTTCATTTCCCTCGGGAGCGCTCAGGTCACTGCTGTTTCTTGTCGCACCCAGCCAGCACTCTGAAGCCTGCTGCGGGTGGGCAGAGCTGGTGCAGAGCAAGTGCAGAACCTGGGTCCAGATGCGAGCAGTGCTGAGCCAGGCCAGGGCACGGCCTTCAAGCCTCAAGGTGGCCTGGCAGGCCACGCTGCCTGGGGGTACTTGCCCCAGACCCTCTGCGTTCACTGGGCAGCAGCTCCCCACGGGCTCAGCTCCTTCGGGGATCTGGGCCACTGGGCACCCTGTAGCTGCCCAGGGGGGCCAGGCTTGGGGCTCCCTTGCTGCCCCTGCCCACCATCTACCCACTGAGGGTACTCCTGTTGTGTGAAGGCTCCTGCACCCTCGGAGCTGCCCTTTTGGACTTTTCTTGGAGTTCACAAATTTCCATAAAAATGCACTTTAAATGATGGACAGGAGAGCCTGGCACAACTGCTGTGTTTGGTGGGGACACACAGGAAGGAGGCTGAGGGAGGAGGGGAGAGAAGAGGAAACAGAAGTTGGAGTTGGACATTCTGACAGCAGCTGGGAAGAAAGTTTATAAAAGGGGAAAAGAAAAGAGAGGAAGGGAGAAACAAATTGGGGCCCCACCCTGCTGGCGGACTCCTAATTCTTTCAAATTGGCCCTCCTCTTTTGTGACACTAATTTAAGGGATTTTGAGACAAAGAAAATGAGGCGAAGGGCCTGGTAGCTCCTCAATTAGGGTAGAGAAGTGGGGGGGGGCGGATGGGGGAGCGTTTTCTCTCTGATGGTTTGCAGGGGTCAGCCCCTTTCCTCTGCAAAAAAGACAGGTTGGTAATAAGAGCCTCTGCTCCTTTACTTCTCCCTCGGCAAACGCAGCCTCCAGCTGCACCCCGAGCTGAGCTCCTGCAAAGCTGTTCCTGTTTCCGCAGGATCAGTGCCCGGGTGGGAAGCTCCGGTGTGCACGCGCCTCCCCGCACACGCACACGCACACGCGCACACTTACACCAAGTGTCTGCAGGGGAGTGTCCTGCGCGCCAGCTCTGCGTGTAAGACAGGAAGCTGCTGGGTGACCAAAGTCAAATGTGAGTGACAATATTCCTGTCCACCGGCAAGGAAAGCGGACTACAAAAGTCCCTTTGTATCTCGGCAGCTCATTTAATATTATTTATGCATTTTGTGCAAGGAATTGTGGGATTTCTCCCCACGGTAAACAATATGGAAATGTTAAAAATAGCGATCCACCGGTGCGTGTCCACATAGGCACACCAGGATGAGCCGATGCGGCTGCCGCGGTTTCCTTCGATCCCTGAACCGAGAAGCGACAAGGAAAGCGCGAGCGAGCTC